GGAGAGCAGAGCCCCGCGGGGCCGCGTGGGGCGAGCGCCTGCCTGCGCCCCACAGACCCTCCTCTTTCCGTCCGTCCATTCGTCCGTCCCTCCAGAGCCGCCGGCCCCGCTGCAGGCGCCGGGCGCGGGAGACGCTCCGTGGCCTGCCACCGTCCCCTCCTGCAGACCGCTCAGTGGTTATTGCGATGAAACTGAAAACTATGAACGATACTAATTTCTCAAGCATTCCTATGGCACTTGCATTGTTCTGCATAATTTGAGCGGGTTGTAGGGGAAGAGATTAGAGGAGGAAAAAAAATACCCTCGGAAAAGTCAATGGAAGGACCAAGAGTCATATTTCCGACTCCCTCCTGTATGACCGCTGATCCAACGCTATTGTGGCTTGAAGCCTATCGAACTCGTGCCTGTTGTCCGGGCTCAGGTCCTCCAAACCCCGGCTGTCATCGTCTTCCTCTTCCTCGTCGCGGCTCATGAAGGCCAGCTCATTCTCGTAGCAGAAGGAGTTGGTGCTGGGCAGTAGGAATTTGTTCTCCACCAAGTCCTTGGCGCTGCAACGGGGGGTGGACGGGACCTCGTAGGTTTTGTGGAAGTGGGAATAGTCTACTTTGTACTGGTTTTTCTCCTCAAACAAGACGGGCTCGAAGCGGTGGCCCCAGAGGATCTCACTGGCCAGGTAGGAGCTCCGAGCTTGTGTCGTCATAGCGGTGGCTTCTACCATGCCTTCCAGGATGACCACGATCTCAAAGTCGTCTGTCTCCAAGTCCTGGCGGCTGATCCCAAACAAGGGGCTGTCTTCGTTGATCTCATGGAGAATGGTGATGGGAGACACCAAGAAGATACGGTCCAAGCCTTTATCAAAGCCCACATCGATGTCTATTTGGTCGAGCGGTATGTACTCCCCTTCTTCTGTGATCCTGGGCTTAATTAGCTGAGCTCGTACGTGGGCTTCAACTATGTGGCTTTTCCGGAGGTTCCCAACTCTCCACATCAAGCAGAGTTTTCCATCTCTCATTGCCACTACTGCATTATGGCTGAAAAGTAATGTCTGGGCCCGTTTTTTGGGCCTGGCCATCTTTGCCATTATTGCACCAATCATGAAAGAGTCAATTATACACCCCACGATGGACTGAACCACCACCATGAAGACCGCGAGCGGGCACTCCTCCGTCACGCAGCGGAAGCCGTAACCAATAGTCGTTTGGGTCTCGATGGAGAACAGAAAAGCAGCCACAAAGCCATTGACCTGCAGAACGCAAGGCTTGAAGGTATCGTCTCCACCCGGGTTTTCTAGGTCTCCGTGAATGAGTGCAATTAGCCAGAATATCAGCCCAAACAATAACCAGGACACCAGAAATGCCAGGGAAAAGAGCAAGAGCATATACCTCCAGCGGATGTCAACACACGTGGTGAACATGTCTGCAATGTACCTCTGCGGCTTGTCATCCATGTTGGTGAACTCCACGTTGCACTGACCATTCTTCTTTACAAACCTGTTCCTGCATTTCCTCCTGGTGTGGATTTTCCCATTGCCAAAGCCGTTGATACCTGGCATGGTGGTCAACCTCAGCCCGTCTTCCTCAGAGGACACGATGCTGTAAGGGTTGACTCTGCCTGCAGTCATCCCTGAGCCAAGCCCACAGTGAAGGTGAAGGGTCTTGCGACTCCTGGCGTCCCCCTGGCCCACCCCTGCCCACCCCCCAAATTCTGTTGCGGTGGAAGAGAAGTCCCAAGCTTCCACGTCTTGGCTTTCACGTCACCACGCGGATCCCGTGAGAGGCTCTGCAATGAGAAAACAAAGACACGGCCATTACCTCTCATGGCAAAGGGACCCAAGGGCGTGTTTGGCCATGGGTCTGACGGGGTGGGTGGCTGCATGTTGAGCGAGGACCCCCCCCACTGCCCTAACTCTCCCTCCTGTGGCTAGGCTGTTCCCAAAAAACACACAGGAGGAAGGAAGACTGTCTTAGAGTTTGTTCTTTTGTACTACAAAGTGAGTGAGCAAACCTTGCTGGGGAGATGCGGCATTTCTGGGAACCCCAACGACACCAGTGGATGAAAAACCTTGGTAGCACTGGAGTCTCTCCCCTTCGCTTTTCTCATGAGCTCTGCTGTCGGAGCAGGGTCAGGCTGCTGGAGAGGAAAGCAGAGAGGTCAAGCTGCTCTCCTTAGCACAGAGATATTAATAAAGGTATGCCTGAAAACAGCTCCATTAGTTCACATTGCCTGTGCCAGATGGACCGCTGCCCAGCACATCGCGGCGGCGGTTGCCCAACCTCCTGAGCACCAGCTCTTCTGGGGTCGAGGGAAACCACAGGGAGATGTGGATTTAACCTCCGTCCCCCAGGCCGGGGATGGGAGAGGACATGGCCAATGTGCAGCCGGTTGGAGAAGGCCCAAGGAAGGCACTCGCTTGGTGCAGATGTCCTGAGGAGCAACTTTCCCAACACATCCATGGGGACACGGAGCCATCCACGGTCACAGATGGGTTTTGCTGGCCAAGTCTTATGAAGGGACAACTGCCGCTGGGGAACGGGGAGCTGTTTTGATCCCTTCTGGAGGGCTCAGCCACAGAGTCAGGGACCTACACTCAGCTTTGCCTGGGAGAGAGGTGGGAGCAGCATGGACACAGGCAAGGTGTCCCAAGTCGGGTGGGCTCCCTGATGCCTCTGCGATGGCACGTGGGGCTGCATCAGGCAGTGGACGGGATTGTGGAGAAGCCACGTGGCACATCCCAAGCACCCCAAAGAGATGGCTCTGCAAGAGTGCTCCCCCAACCACCCCCTGCTGCAGCTCATCCTATTCTTCAGCGACGTGGGATGTGTCACTGGGGATGAAACCACCTTGCTGGCAAGGAGACCTGCATGGGGCAGCAATGTGGTGGGGCAGCAGGTGCAGAACCCCCCCACGACACCGCGTCCCCTCAGCGCAAAGGTGCACGGCTCCTGCCTAGAGGTGCAGGTGAACCCGCCGGGCTGTACGTGCTGTAGACCAGCACCAGTGCC